GGATCCCTTTTATTTCTTTCTCTTGTCTGATTGCTCTGGCTAGGACTTCCAGTACTATGTTAAATAGGAGTGGTGACAGTGGGCATCCTTGTCTGGTTCCCGTTCTTAGAGGGATAGCTTTCAGTTTTTCACCATTGAGGATGATATTAGCTGTGGGTATAACGCAGTTTAAATTTAGATGCCAGTGGCTTGTCTGAAATGTAAAATTGCGACCAGCTTTAGCTATATCTTTTCAGCAAGGTATATTTCCTTGTGCCCACCCTCAATACGTTTGATCACTCCAGCCCCCTGAATGTTTGGCTACTCCTATTAAGAGTTAGGGCAATATCCAGCTAGCCTTGTTGGGGCCTGCCCAGTGGTGTAGGGGTTAAGTGTGTGCACTCAGCTTCAGGGGCCCGGGGTTCGCAGGTTCGGATCCCAGGTGCGCACCGATGCAGTGCTTGTCAAGCCATGCTATGGCGGCGTCCCATATAAAATAGAAGAAGATGGGCACAGATGTTAGCCCAGGGCCAATCTTCCTTAGCAAAAAGAGGAGGATTGGCATCGGATGTTAGCTCAGGGCTAACCTTCCTCACAAAAAAAACAAAAAAAAAAAAGGAAGGCCAGCCAGAGGCAAAAGAACCTACACCACCCCCATCTCCCTGTACTTTTATACCTACCAATAGAGAATTATTCTTCTTCCCACCTGAAGAGAAATTTGCAAGCTATCAAAACAACTCCACCAACCATTTGTGCTATCAGTGTGCAAGAACTCTACTTTCATTGGTGAGAAACTATACATATCCCTAGCTGTCCTCTTTCACTACAGATTCACCTGCTTTCTTCCCCGACTGGCTCTCATTAAAGTTTACTTGTATTTAACTTACATATTATGAGTCTGAGTCTCTGTATAAAAACCATACTTTTAAAGAAAAAAAGAGCCTGCTTTAGTTCTACCCAAGGAACTAGAAAATTAATCCTTAAACAGAATAATGTAAGAATCAAGAATCCTTCTACTCCAGTATTCCCCTAAATTAACACCAACATCCTCCCAAGACATCCAGATTCAAAAGGGCAATACACCATGATGCCCCTTCTCATCCTTTTCCTCAATCCAATAACTGAATTGTTTCAATTTTATCTCTTTTTATGTCTTTAAAATCTTCCTGTTGTGGATTACATTTTCAGCTATCTACATTAGGTCCATAAAATCATTTGCAATGACTTCCTAAATAAAAAGACTCTAATAGTTATAACAATAACAAATATTTAAAAGTTATATTAATAAGAACTATTTCAATTTCATTTTTAAAACATGGTTTGAGTGCTTTCAAGTAGCATAACAAAAAAATAATTATCAGAAGATGTTTATCAATATCAAGCAGTAGCACAGAAAATTTGTTAACTGAATTTTTATTTATATGCCATTTTATAATGTGGGTAAAGTACTACTACATCATTTATCACAATAAAAATAAATAATAATACAATCTCTTTTTCTTACTGCATTTACTAGTTTCTTATATTAATTAGAATACTATCATGAACTTAAAACACACCAATCAAATCTGCCTTCAAAATTTCAGAATTCACTACAAACTGTGAAATTATTAGTTTAACATGCATTTAAATACTTAGATAAAATTTAGGGCACTTTTTGATAATTTGGACTAAAGAAACAAATAAATGTCACAACAAACCAAGAATTTTAGATAAAATATTTCTTTAAAATGTTTAAAATTAATCTCTCACAAAAATTCTAACTACTTTTCTTAGGTTCACAAACACTAAAAATTCTACAGATTTCTTGTTTCAAGCAATCCAAGAAAGAAGAAAATCTGAACACAGTAATTATGAATGCAGGCTGTAGAGTCAGACTGGCTGGGTTCAAATCCCACATAATAGGTGTGTGATCTTGGCCAAGTTACTTAACCTGTATAGGACTGGCTGTTTCCTCATCTGTAAAATGAGGATAATGTTATCTATCTTATAGGGTTATTATGAGGATTAAATATAAGCTAATACATTTAAAATACCTAGAACAGCACCTTCCATTTAAAACCATTCGATAAATATTAGCTATTATTATCACCATCACTACATCATAAGTGAATATAGATTCACAATGAGAAACAAACATATGAGCACAGCTACCTAAAAGCAGGCAAGGAATAAATGAACAGATTATAGAGGGAATGAATACATTTTTAAAGTACATCTGACATTCACAAGTTAGATTAACAGTGGAATTTTATATTTTCTCAAAAAAAATTATCTGCTTGCACAATTGGGAAAGTAGATGTGTTAAGTGGTAAACCAAAAGCAAGAAAGTGATTACCACAAATCTCTGAATAGCAGTTTCCTCTAGGGAGGGAGGGAGGAGAGTGTGATAGAAAAGGAAGGCTTATCAGATGCTAACATGGTTTTATTTCTTGGCTTGTGTGGAGAATACATAGGTGCTTACTTTATAATTTTTTGTTATTCTGCACATAAATGTATAGAACTTTTCTGTTTGTATGTTATATGATCTAACATTTTGTCAAAAAAAGGCACTAAGGACTAAGATATCTATAACATTGTATACTAGTCACAGAAATGGAAAATATGAAAAATTCAAAAGTTAAACTACCAGCTTCTCAGACAGAAAATATGTAAGCACCCTAGCAAATAAAAATCATGTTTCTATCTTTTAAAAACTATAGAAGCAGCATATGTACAAATGAAATTTTAAGCACTAGGTTTTCCTTACTTGAAAGGCAACTACTGTATACTCCACCTCCTCAGAAGACATCGAATCCATAGCACATACATAGGACATTACACTGAACAAGAGGAAATCTACCAGCTTACATTTGGCAACTACAGCACTATAACAATTTGCAAAGTTTTTCAAACATAGACTTCTGAACTGCACTTTCATACATCTAACTGGCTACTGAATATCTCAACCTCAAAGTCCACAGGTACCTCAAAACACATCTTTTCCTCCAAAAATTTTCCTTTCTTAACTCTATCTTCGTTAGCGGTTATCACTATCCACCAAGTAACTCAAGACCAAAATCTGATAAACTATTTAAATTTTATTTTTAGATAAAGCAATGCAAAGGCAGTGAGGATTTTAAGCACAGAAGTAAACTAATCTGATTCCAGTACGGATTACAAAAGGGCAAGAACAGAAGCAGGAAGTCAGTAAAAAAGCTATTAGAATCTAGAGATGACAGACTGAATGACACTGATAAGAGCAGAGCTTACAAGAAGTGGATGAATTCAAGATAGATTTTAGAAATAAAATTTGACAAAATGCGCTGATGGATTGCACGCGAGGAGAGAAGCAGTGTGCCATGATGATTCCTAGGTTTTGGCTTGAGCAAGTAGAAGATGACAGAACAATTTTCCAAGAAGAGAAGATAGAAAATAGGAGAAAAGCTGTAGGTGGTCACAGGGATATTAATTCAATTTTGGACATATTCAGTTTTGAGGTATTTTTGAGAGAGTGCAAATGTCAAGTATGCATTGAATATTTAATTCTAAACCTTAAAGAAATAGTCTGGACTAAAAATACAAATATGAGCATCAACAAATACAGACGGGGCTTAAATTCACGGAAAAGAATGAGACTACTTCAGGAAAGAGTTTAGGGAAAGAAGGGAATCCAAGGTTTGACCAATGAGAACACCAACATTTAGAAATGCATTACAAAACTAGTGCAGCCACTATGGAAAACAGCATGGAGATTCCTCAAAAAATTAAGAATAGGACTATCATATGATCCAGCTATTCCACTGCTGGGTATTTATCCAAAGAGCACGAAAACACGAATGTGTAAAGACATCTGCACCCCTATGTTCACTGGAGCATTATTCACAATAGTCAAGAACTGGAAACAACCTTAAGTGCCCGGCAATGGATGAATGAATAAAGAAGATGTGGTACATATACACAATGGAATACTATTCAACCATAAAAAAGATGAAACCTTGCCATTTGCAACAACATGGATAGACCCTGAGAGTATTATGCTAACCAAAATAACTCAGAAGGAGAAAGTCAAACATTGTATGATTTCTCTCATAAGTAGAAGATAAAAACAACAACAAACACAAAGATACAGAGATTAGATTGGTGGTTACCAGAGGGGACGTGAGGAGGGAGGAGGGAGAAAGAGGCAGTAGGGCACATGTGCACAGTAACAAATGGTAGTTATTTTTTGGGTGGTGAACATGACATAGTCTACACAGAAATTGAAATATAATGATGTACACCTGAAATTTACATAATGTTATAAACCAGTGTTACTTCAATAAAAAAGAAAAAAAAATTTTTTAAAAGGAGGAAGCAGAAAATTACTGCTCTTTTTTCTGTTTTCATCTAAAAAAACTTAATGATCCTTCAAAATCAACTCCTCTGTGAAGTCTTCAACCCCACAGACAACAGCAGTCACTTTCTTATGTGGACGTCTCTTAGCTCTCTATTTATACTACTGTTCTTAACATGCTATATTATGATCACGTATTTAAGTGCACAGTTAAACACTACTTATTGGTTTCTTAAGAAATGCTTTGGTCTTCTTTGCATTCACAATATCTAACTAATCACTTAAAACATAGAAATCATTTATTAAAATATGAAAAATTAAAAAATGGTGAACCTACTTTCACTAAGCTTTCAATATGAAAAAAAGATTGGAATAGTAAGCACAACATAGTACATTGATGTGCACATAAAATATCAAATAGTTAAATTTTTGAAAACATCATTTGATTGCTAACATAATAAAATAAGACTAAAACATAATACAATAATAAAAGACTATTAGTCCATAGCCAACCCTAGTGGTCTAGTGGTTAAGATTCGGTGCTCTCACCGAGACCTGGGTTCATTTCCTGGTCACAGAACCAAACCACCCATCTGTTGGTTGTCATACTGTGGCAGCTGCATGTTGCTGTGATGCTGAAACCTATGCCACTGGTATTTCAAATACCAGTAGGGTCACCCATGGCGGACTTTCATCGGAGCCTCCAACTAAGACAGACTAAGAACAAGAACCTGGCCACCCACTTCTGAAAAAACTGGCCATGAAAACCCTATGAATAAAAGCACAGCATTGTCTTATATAGCACCAGAGGGTGAGAGGATAGGGCAAAAAGATTGGGCAAGGTTCCGCTCTGCTGTACACAGGGTTGCTAGGAGTCGGAATTGACTCCACAGTGCTAACAAAAAATGTGTGTCTATAGTTTCCAGAGGAATTTATTTCTACTTTTCTGCTTGAAACAACAAACTCTTTTTAACAAAAAGATCTATATAACTTCAAAATGTATTTAATATAGAAAAGGAAAACTTTAGCTTTTTGACAACTTAATGTAATATGAAATTTAATGTATCAAAATTTTAATATTTGGTACATATGAGAACTAATTCTAGTTAATTATAGAATTATCTTTTCAATCAGCTACACAAAGAAAGGATTAAAAATGTCAAGAATCTACGGAAATTCTAACATGATATTAAAATTAAACCATACCTCAAAGTAACAGAAGGTAATCTGATGTAACCGAGTACAACCAGTCAAGGAACAAGTGATTCCAAAGAAGGCTTTGTTTCTGTTATTCAAGGAAAAGCAAACATAAAAGAAAGAAACCAGTACCTTTGCCACCAGTATTCTCCATTGTATACAGGTAATCCATGTAAAAAGCCCCAAACCTTTGCATTCCAGCTATCTCAGTGTATGTCTCCTGCCAACAAAGCAAAGCAAACAGAACACACATTATACAGAAGAGACTTTTGAGTTTAAAACCTGATAGGTCAAGAATCAGACACACATCCTTATGGACAATGTGTATCAACTCTACGGATTATCAAAACAAAAGAACAGAGGTTATCCAAAGGATTCACTTCTAAGAAAAGGTAATGTTACCTCTACTATACACCACACAAACGGACATCCATAATTCTACTAGACATTTTGACTACTTTATCAATAATGTCTGGTTAATGAATACCTATAATGGAGTAGCATAATACACTCTTGACCTTTATCACCATCACAAAACTGTCTAATAATGTACACTCTCAAATAAAGTTAATCCTTAAATATTTCAGTACACTTATGAAACAGTTCAAACACTAAAGATACACTAAAATATTTAAAATGTATGTTAATTATGCAGGTCAAAATTAAATTTTTTACTTTCCACTGTAAAACTAAGTCTGTAGTGAAAAGAGTTAAAATGTAAATTATACTATTATACTAATCTTCAGGTAACGTTTTTTGAATTTTTAAATTTATTCCATAAAAAGTACATTAATATAATCTTATATGAAAAATTTAAACAATACTAAGACATATACGTAGTAAAACGTGAAATTCTCCATCTCTTCCCATTAATCTCACACCCTAAAAGTAACTCAAATTAAGAGAGAAAATTCTACATGTTTCCTCCATGACTATTTTAAAAGTAGGGAATGGATAAACTAACTGTGGCTACACACTATATAAAAGTAGAAACCTTTGTGCACTCCTCAAACCTCTGTAGATGTAGAAGCTAGATGAAAACATTCTAAATGTTTCAATAAACAACTAGCAATCAGAATATATTACTTGAGAAGAAAGATGGCAATCACAAGTACTCACACACAGTGTCACAGCCTAGAATTTGGCTCAAATTTATGTTCTCTTACCTTATGATGAGCTGCATCCAAGATAAATTCTGCACGAGTACCATTATTTTCTGGGCTTCGGTAATCAAACAATGAATTTGTAAGGTATGTCAAACCTTTCATACTCAAATTTTCACCACAAATGAAGAAACAGGCTTCCTGAAAATAAATGCAAAACTTTTGAACAGGAGGAAAAATCATTAGGCTGTTAAAGAAAATAAAACCTTGGTTTTATAACACCCATTCAGTAGTCCATAGAAATCACTACAACTTGAAGTCCTGTAAAAAGGCAAGGAATGCTGTCTCCATTTTCACTGCCTATTTTGGCAAAAAACATTTTAACAAACCAAAAAGGAACTCCAAGTAGCTGCCATAAACAAGAAAGAAGAAACATTTATGAATTGGAAAGTATTTGGAACTACTGTCCAGGTGTTAAGTGCTACCAACTTTCTAAATTCCCCTGAGCTCTATAATTTCTTATAGGGGAAAACAGTCAAGTTCCTCTCTCAAGCCAAAGATATATGTAGTCTAACAGATTTTTTGGTATGGTTAAACACTTCAATAAGCACTTCATTATCCCGGCATTCTATCCAAAAAAAGGGGGGAAAGGGGAAATTTTGACTTACGGTTTCACTTCTACTCATATTCTCTTCAAAATCTTTAACACCCATGATTCCTTTAAGGCACATGGCTCTGCAACCTACAAAACCAATCTGGCAATCAAAGAAAGGCTCTCCCATCATAAGGGCCTATAAAAGAAAGGAAACAGAACTAAGAACTTGAATCTCATAAAAATATTAAAGGCTTTCCTTGTACAATTTCTAAATTAGTTGGAACATCTTCAGGATTATGGCCTTTCCAAATTTATTCTCCTCAGATCATAAACCCTCTTAAGGTAAGAAACATCTTACTTGTCTCCATATCCTCAAACCTTTGTATCCTCAACGACTGGCACTTCAGGAACATTAATCCACACAAACATATGAATGTACATATGAAACATATGAACATATGAAAGTTAAATGAAAGAATTAATGTTGTATATTACTGTAAAACCTTTGTTAAGTGAATAATTATTTTAACCAATACTACTGACCACTAAAATACAAATATAAAACTATAAATATATTTTCAAACATACTACTTATGATAAAAACCTGTATTTATTAAATATTAACATTAAGGACCATTCAAAAGATTTAAAAAATATATGTTCAATGTTGAAAGATTACCTCAACTGTAGTTCCTTCTTGTTCCCAACACAATACTTCTTTAGATTTTACTTTCTGAGGGCTGTAATAACTACTCTCGGCTTGCATTTCAGTGAGCTAAGAAACAACATAAGAATATTAAGTAAGTCAAATTAGTATTAAATGGCAATAAACTGTCATTATTACGATGAATTGATGGAAACAAGGCCAATTTTAAGATTCAGGAAATTTAATTATTAAGCAGGAAAACAGGTGCAACAAAAACAGCTGTAACAGATTATCCATGGTATAAAGGTTGAATATGCTAGTCTAAGCTGATATAGAGAATTTAAATGCCACTTTATTTTTATTTAACTCCTTATTCTTAACATTGCTTAAAAAAGCGAAAGCTATATAGCTATAACAGTCCCATAGTCATAAAATGGCTGATATATTTTGCCAAAAATATACACAGATTTTAACCTCAATTCATTTCTATATTCCCTAATAAATTCAACCAGGTTTAGTTCGAGCATTTCCAAGATTTCTCCCTTTGTAATCAAAAAGAAAACTGTCAAAAAACACAATAGATTCAACAAAACTTTTTCTAGTTCTGAGAGAAGCAGGTTCACAGGTTTTTACTTTCAAAGTACGTGTCTCATTGTGTGCCTCACAGACTCATTCAATCATGCAAGTACTTACTGAGTGCCTGCTAGATAAAAGTACTAATCTAGATGTTGACAAAAAAAAATTTTTGCGCCTATGAAACTTACAACATATTATTTGTATGCATCCAAAAATTAGATAATTTAAATTATTTTTAAAATGTATTTTTCTAAATGCAATGTGGTATCCTGGTTTGGATCATGTTACAGAAAAAGGACACTATGAAACTCAATTAAAGTCTGGAATTTAAAAGTAATGCACCAATGTTGGCTTCCTAGTTTTGACAAATGACAGCGTAAGACATTAACAATAGGGGATACTGTATAGGGAGTACATGTGAACTCTCTGTACTATGTTTGCAACTTTTCTGTAAATCTAGAACTATTCCAATATAAAGATGTTATTTTTTAAAAAAGGTACTCTGCCCATGTTTGCTATGATACGACGACTCTTATTCTTGTGAAATGGATATATTCTTCAAACCTAAATACAAAGTCAAAGATCACATTAAAAAAAAAAAAAAATTTACCTTAGGTTACATTGAACTTACTGAACTGAAAAGTTATAATTTTAAACATGATAACCTCTTTATACTGAGAATCAACTACTTATTCTCATTTTTTATAACAAAGAGTTTATTATACAAGCCCTATTTCTTGGATGCTTCTAGAACTGGTATATGCAATGTTTCTGTTTTAAAAAAAACAATTCTATAATCTAAAATGCTGAGGTAAAACTGAATATTTTAAACTTGATCACCCTTCAGCTGTCTACAATTATTGTAGAGAAAAAGCAATTAATTGATTAAAAGGACTCAAACATTACAAGAACAATTTTCAACATTATTAAAAAAATGCTACATATAATTTGGCATGATTTTGTTGGATTGGTATCAACTGTTCAGAATGCTAATGTAGAAACCTGACCTTATTTTCTGCCCAAAATATGAACCACAAATTAATTCCATACATTCTTCAAATCCAAGCTGAACAATGAATTCTAATGTTTTTCTTCCTAAATATCAACATATTTCCCCTAGAGAAATCTTAAGAGAGATATAAGTGTTTCAAATTTTTTAAAAGATGTATTAACTAATGACACGGTTTTACAATTTATGGACCTCTCCCAACTCTATTATCTCTCTGACCTGATTTTGTACTACTTCCACATTAGCTCACTTTGCTCTGGCCCCACTGGCCTCCTTGCTGTTCCTTGAACTTTTGGGGCCTTTACATTTTCTATTTCTAGAATGTTCAATCCCACGTATCTACAAAGCTTCCTCTTTCACAGGTCTTTGCTTAAATATCCCCTTCCCATTGAGGCATTCCCTGATCGCCCAATTTTAAATTGCATAATCCCCTCCCCTCTAGTGGAAGCATTCACTATTCCTCTTCTCTCTTTATTTTTTCTACATAGCCCTTAGCATCAACGGGTATACTATATACCTTATTTTTTTTAATAATAATTTACATTTTAAGTGGCAGGGATTTATATCTGATCTGTTAACTGTGATATCTCTAGAGACAGAACAGTGCCTGGCACATAGATGGCACTAATATATATTTGTTGATGAATTAGATACTGTTAGGAATATTACATGTGTGGTAATACTATTAGAAAAAGCCAAGGAATAAATGACCCCAAATTAAGGTTGGATTATATTTGAGGGGCAGAGATGACAATATATGATCAACGAAGAACACACAAGGAGTGCCAAAGTACTAGTAATTTTATATTTCTTAAAATAAAAGGGTGTTCACTTTATTATTCTTTAATCTGAAAATACCTATTATATAATCTCTTTTGAGTATATCTTTTACACACATTTGTTAATGGAGGAAGTGGTCAAAGTATGATAAACACTGCTGAAAAACAGTTAAATGAGAACCTAGATAAGAAATTGGATTGTCTTCAAGAGTGAAAGAGAGGTGAGCAAAGAGAGAAACTATATATAAATAACCCTTTAAAGAAATTCTGTAATGAAAGAGAGCACTTTTTGGCCATCCTGAAGTCTATATTCCCGTCCTACCAGGCTTCAGAATAATCTCACATATTGTTACATATTATTCAAGTAAAAAAGAGCCATTCAGTTATATAGGAATAGTTTGAGCTATAGATATGAAACAGTAGCTGGAGGGGTATATGAATTCACAGGAGATTTTTTATGTGCATTTCTTTTTTAATGGAAATATTAAGGCATCCTTATATGTCAATTGAAAGATCCAGTAGAGAGAGAAAAACTTTCCACGAAGCTGATAAAAAAGGAAAGTGGAAAAGGCCTTAGAAAGAGATCAAAATTCAAAGATTTCCAATGAGGGGACATATAATTTTATAAAGCAACAACTGTTAGACTCTATCTTATATCTACTGACTATAAAACAAACTTTAAGCTAGATCCTTACTAGAAATCAAAATTCAAGCATTAAAGTTGAGAGAGAGATGAACAGCAAGAAAAAGGAAACCTACTTTGAAAGTCACAGTTGCCTTTGTACAATAAAATCCTATAGAAACAACAGGATCCTTCAAAGTTTGTGCTTTTTGCTGATGGGTGGTTGATGCAGGATCATTCCCAAGGTAGTCTTCCTCACCATCATCATAACTCACAATTGCAGGCACAAATGACCAGGCCCAGGACACCCATCCCTGTGGCTGCTCATCCTCTTGCTCTGAATACAACTCTTGGCCTTTGTACTGAGAAGGATACTGCATATCTATTCTTGTTTCATCTTCAGCACCTATCAATCAAAATAAAGTCATTTTAAATAAATCGAGGATTTAACTAAGAGGAAAATTAGGAACGTAAATTCTATAAAAATGTTTCTCCCACATTCTTCTTTCTAAATATAAAGTATGAACAAATCCCACATTGCTTATTATTATTTAGCATTACCACTTTCAAGTTTCTATATGTTGTACTGTGTCAATCTCCTTTCACAGTCCACAATTAAGGCTATATGGGGAGGAGTTTGTCACATAATTTTAAATGTATTTGATAAGTACAAAGGATAAATACATTCAATAGCATTTTACTCAATTTAAAAAAACCACAACAAAGAAACTACCTCCCACAAATAGGGCTAAAGTGATGAAAAACTGAATTTTCTCAGAAACATAACATCAGAAAGATCCAAGAAAAGTTCTTGATTTCCTGATGCACCCAAGAAAGAAAGAGAACAGCAAGTGCTCCTAGGCAAAATGCACCCCCTCAAAAAAAGAATTATCCCAAAGGATGAATGTAAATGTTACAATAAAATTATTCTTACATGTAATTAAGAAAAATAATAGTGTTGGTGACTCTTTCTTATTAGCAGGTGACATAAATTAGTATCTTTCCTATTCCTCAGATGAAAAAAATCATAGCAAAAAACTTTTATTTGGTTACAAAATGGCAGACTAAGGATTTAGATTCCAACCACTCTAACTTATTCCATCTTCATAAAAACAAACTCCATCAGAAACCCTTAACACTATTCTAACAATACAAACAAAAGAGGCATATCATCATGGAATTTAGGAAAAAAGTTACTTTTAAAAAAATTCATGGTATAAGCAGTCTCCAGTAGATTCAAGCATATCTACTCTTCAGAGATAAATCTATAAATACACACACTCCATTAAATATTATCCTCATTCAGATCCAATTCTAGCTTTTCTGCCTAGAAAAACTTCATAACTTTTTTTTGTCTGTGTGAGGAAGATCAGCCCTGAGCTAACATCCATGCTAATCCTCCTCTTTTTTTTTTGCTGAGGAAGACCGGCTCTGAGCTAACATCTATTGCCAATCCTCCTCCTTTTGTTTTCCCCCAAAGCCCCAGTAGATAGTTGTATATCACAGTTGCACATCCTTCTAGTTGCTGTATGTGGGACGTAGCCTCAGCACAGCCAGAGAAGTGGCATGTCGGTGCGCGCCCTGGATCCGAACCCGGGCCACCAGTAGCAGAGCGCGCGCACCCAACCACTAAGCCATGGGGCCGGCCCCCTTCGTAACTTTTTTAATCCTTATGACAGGAGACTCTTGGAACATCGTACACTTATACACTACAACACATGGCCATTTACCTTCTTTCATCTAGTAAGTAAAAGACTTGATAAGTAGAAATTTGAGTACCTAAAATATAGTACCAAGAGATCTTAGCCATCTTACTTCAAAACAAATTGTAAAAGTTATAAATCCAGAAAATGGTTTGCATAATCTTTATATCTTGCAGTTTAACCATAAACATTATATAAGTTTCTATGGGGAGTAAATAAAGCCTAATAAGACCTCAAATTGGACATCATCAATGAATATCGTCTCGGTTATAAAACAAGTAGTCAGGTCACCTCAACCCAGGAAGCAGTGACCAGGTTGGGCCCACAGAGCCAGCCTCTGGACCTCTCTTGTCTAAATCATTAAAACAGAAAGGGTATCCACTGCTTGATTTTTTGAAACAAAAGAAACAAACATCACTAAGAGAGATCTGAGAAATTGGTCACTATAATTTATACTTAATATTAATTAAAAAGAGGGATTTTGATGAAAGATGCTTTCAAAGTTCCAAATCATTCCTCACTGCCTTGCAAAAAGAATGAATTAGGGCCTGGAAAATAAAAAAGTATTTCCTTGATCCCTGGTCAGAATTTCCTAAAACGGTCAGAATTTCCTAAAATACTCTTTTCCTTTGGAACAGTGTATCTCAATCCGTGGCCCTTTGATAGAATTTAGGAAACCCATGAATTTCAATGGAAAAATACATATTAAGTATTTAACTAATACGTAGCATTCTTTTAATTAGGAATGTAGATAACAAACCACAGTTGCATCAGCAGTACTTTCAACTCTAAAACAAATAGAAATCACAGATAAACCAAATAACAGCTGTGAAGTTATCTCAAAATATCATTTACACACATTACACATACTGTGAAACTATGACAGCTATTAGACTTTTGCTATATTTCATTATTTAATGTCTTAACATAGAAGCACATATAAAACAACAACAAAAAATACAAAATATATGGAATAATGGTTATCAGGCTCTGGAGACCAGTGAGTCCTGAGAGATGAGAAACAAGAGAAGTGAGCTCTATGATTGTCTCAGGTTTACTTCCTGGAATCGGTTCCTAAGCCACAGCCAAGAAAGAGTGTATCCAAGCAGAGCTGGGCAGACTCCTTATAAGAGAAGACAGAGTAGTGAGTCCAGGGAGACTAAGGTCTTAGGCTAGAGTTTGCAGGGCAGAGTACCAAACAGGAAATACTTGCCCAGAGAGAGAGCTCCTGAGATCTGCAGAGGGTCCTGCTCCAGTTCTCAGTTGACTATTAATCAGTTTCATGTAAGGAAACTACTGAGGCCATGAAAAGAACCACCACAAAGGAGCAAAGGGACGATCCCTAAGACTTATACAGAATTTGGAATAGTCTGTGTTCCCACCAGCAAGCAAGAAAAAAAATCTTTAGGGCCCAGCCCAGTGGTGTAGTGGTTAGGTTCGTGCACTCCACTTTGGCAGCCCAGGGTTCATGGGTTCAGATCCTGGGCGCGGACTAGCGTACCACTTATCAAGCCATGCTGTGGCAGCATCCCATATAAAGTAGAGGAAGACAGGCATGGATGTTAGTTAGCCCAGGGCCAATCTTCCTCAGGAAAAAAAAGGGGGCGGATTGGCAACAGATGTTAGCTCTGGGCTAATCTTCCTCAAAAAAAAAAAAAAACACTTTAGTTCACAGGGCATCAGGCAAAGGACTCAAAAGGGTAATTGTCTCAGTAGTGAGACAAAACTGGGCTTAAGCTAATGGTTGCTCTGATACCATCTAAAAAACCTTTAAAGCAAGACAAGTGAATTAAATTGTTTCCAAGTAACTACATTGTTTGCTAGAATACAAAAATATCCAGCACCCAACAAGATAAAATTCATAATGTCTAGCATCTAATTAAAAATGATTGGGCACAGGGCCGGCCCGGTAGCGTACTGGTTAAGTTCGTGAGCTCCACTTCAGCAGCCCAGGGTTTGCGGGTTCAGATCCTGGGCACAGACCTACACACCGCTCATCAAGCCATGCTGTGGTGGAGTCCCACGTACAAAATGGGAGAAGATTGGCACAGATGTTAGCTCAGGGACAATCTTCCTCAAGCAAAAAGAGGAGGATTGGCAACAGATGTTAGCTGAGGGCCGATCTTCCTCACACACACAAAAAAATTATCGTGCATGTAAGAAGCAGGAAAATATAACACAGAATGAGGAAAAAAGTTAGTCAATAGAAAAAGACCGAGGAATGACACAGTTCATAGCATTAGTAAGCAAGGACTAAAACAGCTACATAAACAAAATGCAATATTCAAGAAAGCATAAATAAGGAGAGATATAAAGACATATTTTTTTAAAAATCCAAATTGAATTTCTAGAGATGAAAAATACTGTATCTGAGATGAAATATAAACTAGGTGGGATTAATAGCAGATTAGATACAGAAGATTAGTGAATTTGAGCAGAAATAGAAACTATCAAAAATGAAACAGAAAATAGAAGGAAAAAGCTAAAAAAAACATGAACAGAGCATCAAAGAGCTCTGTTGAACTTCAAGCAATCTAATATATATGTAATTGGAGTCCCCAAAGGAGGAGAAAGAGGAACTAAAAAAGATATTTGAAGAAATGATACCCCAAATTTTTCTAAGTATATATGAAAACTGCAAACCCACAGACCTAAAAACCTTAATGTATTCCAAGCACAAGTAACAGGAAGAAAAGACACAAAGGCATATCAAAATTAGGATGCCTAAAATCTTCTGAGAAGAGTTTCATTGGGTTTACCAGAGTGTCAAAGGAATCCACAGTGCAAACAATAAAAGGTTAAGGATTCCTGCTTTAGACAGATGAGAAAACTAATTCCGACTCCTCTGGAAGCAAATAGTGGAGTTGCTTCCTCCTTTTTTTAACACACAAAAAAACCCACCTTCTTAGACCACAGAAAACAAAGGCTATAAAGAAAAATTTGAAAATTACTTTTCATCAAAATTTAAAACTCTGGTCAAGAAACACTTACTAAAAAACTAATTAGGTAAGTCACAGACTGGCAAAAAATATTGCCAAAACATGTATATGACAAAGGACTTGAATTCAGAATATATAAAGAACCACAAATCAGTAATGAGACCCAAAAAGGTTTTAAAATAAGCAAATAGTTACATATACTTCACAAAGGTAGATATATCAATAACCACATGAACAAGTTCAAAATAACTACTTATCAGGGAAATGCAAATTAAAACCACAATGAAACACCACAATATGTCCATCACAATGACAAAAAGTAAAAAAAGACTGACAACACCAAATGTTGGCAAGGATGTGGAACAATTGGAACTCGCATACATTGTTGAGGGGGATGTAAAATGGCACAACCATTTTGGAAAAAAGGTGTGATAATTTCTTTAAAATAAAAAAAGACAGGGGCCGGCCTGGTGGCACAATGGTTAAGTGCCCATGCTCCACTTCTGCGGCCCGGGGTTCGCAGGTTCGGATCCCAGGCGCGCACGGACACGCCGCTTGTCAAGCCATGCTGTGGTGGCGTCCAATATAAAGTAGAGGAAGATGGGCACGGATGTTAGCCCAGGGCCAATCTTCCTCAGCAAAAAGATGAAGATTGGCATCGGATGTTAGCTCTGGGCCGGTCTTCCTCACAAAAAAAAAAAAAAAAAAAGACAACTAAACACACAATTCCACTCTTAAGTATTTACCCAAGAAAAAGAACAGTACACGTCTACAAGAGACTTGTAGAACAATGTTCAAAATAGATTTATAATAGCTGAAACTGGAAACAGCCCAAGCATCCATCAACAGGAGCATGACTAAATAAACTATGGAATATTCATATGGTATACTCATACAATGTACCTAGCAATAAAAAGGAAAGAACTACCGATATATACAACAACATAGATGAATCCCCAAAATATTATGCCTTTAGGGCAGTGAAAATACTCTGTATGATACTATAATGATGAATACATGTCATTATACATTTATTCAAACCCATAGAATATACAACACCAAGAGCAAACCATAAACTACAGACTCTGGGTGATAATGATGTGTCAATGTAGGTTCATCAATTGTAACAAAAGTAAGAGGGGATGTGTGAGGGCAGGGAGGGCAGGGAGTATATGCAAAATCTCTGTACCTACCCCTCAATTTTGCCGTGAACCTAAAACTGCTCTAAAAAAATAAAGTCTTTAAAAAAGTGAAAAAAAAATTAAAAGTAAAAAATATGCATAGTGAAAGAATCCTTTCACAAGAGAGTACATACTGTATGATTCCATTTATGTGAAATTCTAGAATCAGCAAAACTAATCTATGGTTTTTAAAAAAATTCAGAAAAGTGTTTTCCTGAGTGGAAGGAGGTGGGGAATGACTGCAAAGGGTCATGAGAGAATTTTTTGAGACGTTACTGATCTATAATTCGTGGTGTTTTATGTTACACAGGTGTACACATTTCTCAAAACCTGTTGAATAGTATACTTAAGATTTATGCATTTCACTTTGTAAATTTAACCTTCAAAAAAATAAAAAGAACTATTAATAAATATAAACTCCAGTTAATGATATGCTGCTGAAGTCTAGGGGTGAAGTGTACTCATATCTGTAACATACTTTGAAAAGCATCAAAAACATTGGTTGAACTGATGGAGAGAGAGATGTCAGATGAACAGAAATGGGATAAAGCAAATGTAACAAAGCAAATTGTAAAATCTGGATGATGAGCATGTCGGTATCCAATGCATAATACTTTCAACCTTTCGATATATTTGAAATTTGTCATAGCATTTGGAAAAAAATGAATTGAGTACCTTATATCTGTTAGATTTTGTTTTAGGTATTACACATTGTTCTGTCTCAGGAGTTCATTGCCTAACATGAATTCACTGTCTAGTATGAAATAAAGGTATGTTCTAGATCTACTTATGCTTATTAACGTTGTTCCATAAGCTTTTTTTTAATGTGATAGGATTTTTTAAATAAGCTATAATTGAAATACTATAAAATTTCGTCTTTAAAAGTATACAAGTCAATCGTTTTTAATATAGTCACAAAGTTGTGCAACCATTGTCACTATCTAATTTTAGAATGTTTTCATCACTCCAAAAAGAAAACCTCTACCCATTAGCAGTCACTTTCCACTCCCTCCTCCCTCCAGGCCCTGGTTACTAAACTACTTTCTGCTTCTAAGGAATTGCCTTTAAGGGACATTTCACACAAATGGAATCATACAATGAGTTTGTTCCTTTTTGACTAGATGCTTTCATTTAAGATATTTTCAAAGTTCATCATGTTGCAGCATATATCAGTATTTCATTCCTTTGTATGGCTGAATAAAATTCCAATGTATAGATATACCAGAATTGTTTATCCATTCATCAGCTGACGAACATTTGGGCTGCTTCGCTTTTTGGTTATTATGATTAATGCTGCCATGAACATTTACATACAAGTTTTTATGTGGACATTTGTTATCAATTCTCTTGCATATACACCTAGGAGTGAAACTGCTGGGTCATATGGCAACTCAGGTTCAACTTTTTGAGGACCCAGATTGTTTTCTAAAGCGACTAAACCATTTTACATTCCCAAGCAACATTTAAGAGTTCCAATTTCTCCACATCCTTGCCAACACTTGTTATTTTTGTATCTTTTTGATTATAGCCATGCTAGTGGCTATGAAGTGGTTATCTCACTGTAGTTTTCATTTGCATTCCCCTTCATGCCTAATGATGTTGAGCATCTTTTTACACGTGCTTGTTGGCCATTTGTGTATCTTTTTTGGATAAACGTCTATTTAAGTCTTTTGCCCATTTTTTTTTTTTTTTTTTTTTTTTTGGCTGAGGAAGATTCGTCCTGATGTAACATCTGTTGCCAATTTTCCTCTTTTTTGCTTGAGGAAGATTAGCCCTGAGCTAACATCTGTTAACAATCTTCCTCTTTTTGTATGTGAGCCACCGCCACATCATGGCCACTGACAGACGAGTGATGTAGGTCCACACCCAGCAACTGAACCCAGGCCGCTGAAGCGGGGCGCCTTGAACTTAACCACTAGGCCTGGCTGGCCTGGGGCTAGCCCTGCCCATTTTTCAATTGGGTTATTTATTCCTACATTTTAAATGCCCTTTTCTAAAGCCTCTAACTATGAAAATTAACCATCTACAAATTCTTCCTGAGTCTCAGGCCCAAGGACAAGTCAAAGTCAATCATTCCTTTCATCATCTTTCTACTTCAGATCATTCATACCTCTGTTTAATCAAATATCCTATCATTCTACTATGCATCATACTTAACTAACTATTCACATCTCTGTCCACTCCATTGTATCTTAAGATTTTAAGGGAAGAGAACACATATTTTTATCTCTGTATTTTCCCACAATATCAACAATAATGGCTTAAGTACAGTCGGCTTTAGTAAAAGTACAATGAATTGAGTAACTGAAGTTAACCAACTAGGTATCCTTCAATGAAGCATATACTCCATTAATTAAGGCTCTAATTAACCAGGTATCCTCCAATAAAGCATATAGTCAATTACTTAAGTATAATTAATTATAATGGTTCATTATAATTACATATAATAATTAAGTATTAAGAACACATAACTCAATTAATTAGTTACAATAACTCTTGGTGAGGCTTTGCAGAAAAATTACCAAACTATAATTTACTAAGAAATCTTGAGGTTGAGATAAAAATCTCAACTTTCACATAATGTACATTCTGAACACTTATACCTACTAGAAATATTATTTTTTGCATGTATAAAAAAGAAAATCAGAATAGCATCCAGCATGTAGAAAAGAAAAAAAATCAAAGTAGTGTCAAACAACCAAAATAAAATCATCCCATCACACTAGGACATTGCAAAACTCAATGTATTTTTTAAATTTTCACAATGGTGAAAACACTTTGCAAGAACAATAGTTCTAAAATAAAGTTTTTGTTATATTTACCTGTAACGTTTCCTAACATATCTTTATTGTGACAGGTAGGATCTTCTGTTTCCCCATCTTTAAAATTGCCTATTTCTCCATAGTAAAGAGCAATCCCAAGTTGCATTACACGGATAAACATAGGCAGTTGTTGATCTGTGATAGAAAGTTTCAAACTCTCTACTAAGGTATGAATCTGTATTTTGAAAAAACAAAAACATGAACAAAAGCATGCTCAAAGGGTGTACCTTTTCACATAAGCAGAGAAATGTTAAAAGTCTTGAAATGGAATACCATAAGAGAAACAGTAATGTCCCAAACATTTCTAATATGTAAGTCAAAATAACAGTTTACTCTAAAATTTTAGGAATTAAATCAAATTTTGCTATGATGATCAATAAACTTTAGAAAGAAACTATATTAAGCCAATTATATAAATGCAAACAGAAATGATAATGAAAAGATATAGTCACACCAAATATCTAGACAACTTTTCCAGAAAGTTATGTAACAAAAATACCCAATCTATATATAACATTAAGAGTATGATAGTATCCCCCCCAAAACCAGAAAGATCTCCGTCACAACAAAAAATAAAAGTTTCATGATACCATTTTAGTAAAACTTTAATCACCCTTTCCAGCTTTATTAACCAAAAAGAATACATACACATCCTAAAAACATATGTTAAGTGGGAAATTAACTAACATAACTATAGAAGTATGGACATAAAATTTTTATTGTCAAATACAGAAAACCAAGAGAAATATATGTTCAAGAAAGTTTTTCAAACAAATTTTAAATAAGAGATTTAAACATAACATAAAATTTATAACATGAATCAACCATAAGAAAGAAGATTAATTACTAACAAATAGGATATATAGCAGTCAATCAAAGTTCTCCTTATAGAAAGAGACATCAATGGAATATAAACACAGCCTCAGTGTAATGGTTTCCTGCTGTTATATAAACATGGAATAAAATCAATTAAGCCATAAAGTCAAGTCTCTTGGAAGGTTTATTTTGACTAACTGGTATTTGAGTGTCTACGAAACATGAAAAAGAAGTAATGGTAATCATCATATTTTTAGGGCTAAAGGCACAAAAAATTGTATTTGAAGGGGAAGAAAGTTATATGAGGGGGGTGTAAAATGCCATGTTCAAATATGGGTACAGGTTTCTCAAAAATGACCTAAAAATCATACACTGAATAGACCATGAAGAAGTAAGAAACTGGGGCAGGGGGAAGTGAGGGATGGAGTGTGCAGTGCAGGCCTACCAAACTCTTCTTAATTTGAGATTTTCTGCCACATCCTTTTAAATATTGTATGGCACCAATAGCACCAATGATAAGCAGGCTTAGCAAAACCAATGACAAAGAATCAATCCTTTATATATATATATATATATACACACACACACATATATATAATATTATATACACAAACACATGTATATCTTTAATATATAAGATATTTTATATATGCTATATATGTACATACATCTAAAATATCTTTAAAATCAGTGAGAGTAATCCCCAACAGAAAAATGGACCAAGAACCTGAATGGATTTTTCAAAAACCAAATGGCCAGTGAACATCTTTTCAAAAATCTAACTTCACTAATAATCAAGTGTTAATCAAAATATATACAGTCATGTGTCAATTAACAACGGGGATACATTCTGACAGATACGTCATTGGGTGATTTTGTCCTTGTGCAACCATCATGGAGTGTACTTACACAAATCTAGATGGTATAGCCTACTACACACCTAGGTTACATGGTACTAATCTTACAGGACCACCGTCATATAAGCGGTCCATCGCTGATCGAAACATCATTATGCAGCGCATGACTATATTATATTTTGCTCAACAAGTTGGCAATTTTTTTAACATGATGATATTTAAGGATCAGAAGAGTGTAATACAGGTACTCCCCTTAATGTTCACGAGCATATATACTGATTAAACCTTTCTCGAACCAATTTTGCAATACATATCACAGACCTTAAAAAAGTTTAAAACCATTAATGAAAAATTTGCGATTACAGAAATCGTTCCTAAGGAATTAACCAAAGATATGGTCAAAGATTTATATGCAGACTTTCATTCCTCTGAAATATTGGAAAAAAAAAAAAAGTAAATTTTCAAAAATAGGGGAAATATGAAATAAATTATATACCCATATTATCTTTACAATCTCTAGGACATGTTTATTTCTCACAAAAGATAGAAAATTATAAAAAGCCTATCCAAATATAAATAAATAAATTCAAAATCCACTTAAACAAACATACGTGAGAGGCTTAAACAAATAATTAGGCTATCTGGAACATTTTTGGAAATTCCCCAACTTGAAGGTAATCAATGAAGTTAACCATGTCCATTTAATACATATTTCCTAGGACTAGGAGTTGGAAGAATAATGGGTCTAACTCAAAACGGCAAATCTTACACCACGATAGTATTAATAAAAAACTCAAAATTTGATTTCACTTGAACATAATGGTATCTTATATTTGGTGATTACCAGAATCAAAAACTATATGTCAACAAGCTTATTTATATTAAGGTGCTCTTTACAAGGAACTGTCATGGCTAATCAATTTTAAGAACACAAACCTACATGGCAACACTAAGTTTTCAAATTCATTTATTTTTTCTTGCCTCTAATTTAGCCACATCCTAGAATGTATAATTTAATTTGTACTAATGATCAACTGGATTATTTTATATAGTAAGGCTTACATGTATCCATTACTTGTTTTCAAAATGTATCTTGAACTTAAGCCTTAACATTCCCCAATTTTACTAGCCGATTCAGAGCTAAAGAAAAAAAGCCCATTATCCTGGGACAGAGGCATCAATATTGTTGAATTAATACTTTTCCATGCCTATCTTTGCCAAAGAAGTTAATTCAAACAGGCACAGTAGTCAATACCAGTGTTAGGGCCAACTTTTCCATTATAGAACTTTAGTATTGAAAAGCATGTAATTCAACAATAAAAATTCATTTTGCAGTAAAAGTTAAGATGACAAGTCACTGTGTGAATTCTTTTTCAAAGATAGACAGATGTTTAGAAAACTGTTATGTAATAAAAGAACACAAGATTTACAGTTACAGACTAAATACTGAAAATATATACCAATACCTCAGAGAACAACAAATTTTCACATGTATCAAAAGACATTACCTGAAAAACTCGCATAGCCTAAGATTTTAATTGCATTTTGAAACCACAGATAAAAAGTTAAAATTTCCTGAACCAATAAACTAAGACATTAGGTTAGCAAATTAAGCCTTATAAAGTTATCTAAGAAAGAGAAGGGACAATAACTATAGTTATCAGATCATGCTAAACAAATTACAAGGATTAAAATATAGATTGATATTCAGTCCACTGTGAGTAGAAATACACTTTTTTGTATAATCTCCTCCATTTACTTGAAGAGAAAAACACTAATGAACAGCTGGACAAACTAAAAAGGAAACTACAGTCACAGAAAAAAAAAGTTGTCCCCAAAATATCTTTACTAGCACACATAATGAAGTTATAAATATATAATAAATAACAGAAAAGTTGTAAATATAAATAAAACCTTTTTACAAAAACTAATAGTATATATATCTATAAGGTTAATTTCTTCCTTATTTTTTAATAATAATTAGCATGCACAAGAGCCAATAAACAAAATGGAGACATGCAACTCAACTACTAGAAAAAGAAACACCTACTTTAATAACAGACGGCATCTTGGAATTTAGGTTATCATACGTAAAATGCAGACGAGTTCTGAAGGAACATTTGTATAATAACGGGTCCTGGTAAAATTCTATTTTACCACTAGCATTTCGCTTATCAAGACAAACTGTACAGTCGCAAAAATTGATAACCTTTCTCAGCACCAGATCAGTTGCTAAAAAGAAAAGAAAAACATTTTAAGTAAAAAGTAAAGTTAGAGAAAAAAGGCAACTATTATTTATTAGCACAAATAGTAATAAAAATAGTAGTAAAAATAAGATTAATAGAGCATTTAATACATGATGCCAGAAGCTATGCAAAGAACTTCTCATTTATTATATCATTTAAATCTTCCAACAACCTTATAAAATAGGCACAATAATCCCCATTTTAGGTATGAAGAACCAAAAGAAGCCAAAAAATGAAGTAGCCTGCCCACAATTTGCTTGACACCTAAATACACATTTAAGATAAAATTTATGAAAAATTTTCACAAGATTTTGCTATCAGCAAGGAGATATTAAATACTAAAATAAAATTCTTGAGAAACCACATTAAAAATAACATTGTAACAGTCAGCCATTTAATATTTATTTTACACTAAAAAACTTACTGCTACTCTCCAATATGGTAGTTACCAGTGATATGTGGCTATTCAATATTATATATGAATTAAAATTATATAAAAATAAAATTTCAGGGGGCTGGCCCAGTGGCATAGTGGTTGAGTTTGTGCACTCGGCTTCGGTGGCCCAGGGTTCGCCGGTTCGGATCCCCAGGGTGGATCAATGCACCACTCAGCCCATGTGTGGCGGCATCCCACATGTAAAATAAAGGAAGATGGGCACAGATGTTAGCTCAGGGCTAATCTTCCTCAGCAAAAAGAGGAGGATTAGCAACGGATGTTAGCTCAGAGCCAATCTTCCTCACAAAAAACTAAAATAAAAAAATAAAAAATAAAAAAAAATAAAATTTCAGGTCCTTGGTTGCAATAGCCACATTTCAAGTGCTCAATAGCCACATGTGGCTAGTGGCTACAGTACTGAACAGTAAAGACATAAAACATTTCCATCATCACACAAAATTCTAGTGGACAACACTGCTTTAAATAAAAACTAAAGAAGAAATGACCAAATTATCAATAACAGTATAAAGTTTGCTTTCAAGGTAAGAATAAAAATGCTGGTAAAGTATCAAACTAGAAAATGAGATCTTTAGCAAACAAGTAGTTTTATTCCTAACTAACAAGCAATTCCTAGGTAAATATCAGGCCCAAATCTTCTTGATCAGTGATTTTAAGTTAGCAGCTACCCACATGTGATGGCCATGGGAATCTTCAAAACAATAAAATATGCTCTCGTCCATTCTTTGTTAACACTATTTCTGAGTGTATCCTGCCACTTCTAACTAATTCAACCTTAATTTTCTTTTCTTTTTTTGTACTTGAGTTTTTAAGAAGTAAAAACTAAAAAGTATGCACGTGTGGAAACAGTAAAGTTTTATTACCAAATAAATTTCAAATTTGTTAGTTGAAAAAATACACAAACTTGCCATATTATTTCATTTTACACAGCATATAAATGATTTAGCTACTGATATTATATACATGTACACAAGTTAAAGAAATTATAATAGTAGGACTAGAAACGAAAGAAACCCTCTAGATACTTCCTTCCCTCTCTTAATAATAATTTACTGAGTATTTGCCATTAGACACTACACTAAGTCTTTTACATCCATTATCTCTTATAATATTTATATGGCTCTGTTTAAAAGATGTGAAAACTGAGGCACAATAAGGGTGAATAATCTGTCTAATGTTAAACAGTTTATAAAGAGCAAAGTTGTAATTCAAACTCTGGCAACCTCACTCCAGAGTGCATCTTCTTATTCATTATGCTATAAAACATAAAGCAGTCATATTTTAAGGAACTTCTAGAAAATTATGATTCAGTGAGAGGAAATTATTAAGCTTTGAAAATATTTTTTCTTAAAAACTAAATATAACAGCAACTATCTTTTAAAAGCTTACAAAATGAATTCTAGTTCTGGTACTTACTTTAGATAATGTGTTGTAATTTAATCTATAAAATGGGGATAATAATTATGTCTACCTAACAAGAACTCTGGAAAATGATTTGGCATTATTTTGAAAATGTGAATATTTACATACCCTCCCATCTAACAAACCCTCTCCTAAGTATATGTCCTAAAGAAACGCTTACACACATGCATCAAAAGATATGTACAGGAGCCAGCCCAGTGGCGCAAGCAGTTAAGTGCGCGCTGCGCTGCGGCAGCCCGGGGTTCACCGGTTCGGATCCCGGGCGCGCACCGACACACCGCTTGGCAAGCCATGCTGTGGAGGCATCCCATATAAAGTGGAGGAAGATGGGCATGGATGTTAGCCCAGGGCCAATCTTCCTCGGCAAAAAGAGGAGGATTGGCAGATGTTAGCTCAGGGCCGATCTTCCTCAACAACAACAACAAAAAATGATACGTACCAAAAGATTCATAACAGCAGTGTTTCTAATAACAAAAATCTGGAAACATCCCAAATACCCATCCATCAGGAGAACAGATAATTAAGTTTTGGCATATTTAAACAGTATAATATTATTCATAAGTAAAAATCAGTGATCTACAACAACATGCAACAGCGAACCTCAAAAGACAACACAGACAATACTATTTTTACAAAGCTCAAAAATACATGTATCTAAATATATTATTTATTATACATTCACACCTGACAAAACTTTTTTTATTGAGGTAAAATTCATGTAACATAAACATTAACTAATTTAAAGAGTACAACAGTAGCATTTAGTACACTGACATTGTTGTGCAACCATTACCACAATCAATTTTAAAACTTTCTCATCACCTCAAAAAAGAAACTTTAGCTATGCCCCTCCATTCCCCTCAGTGAGCCCCCCCTTCTCCAATTCCTAAGCAATCACTAATCTACTTTCTGTCTATAAAGATTTGCCTATTCTGCACAATTCATATATATGGAATCATACAATAGACACCCTCTGTGTCTGGCTTCTTTCACTTAGCATAATGTTTTCAAGGTTCAACTATGTTGTAGCATGTATCAGTACTTCATTCCTTTTTATAGCACAACTTTTTTTTAAGCAATTGAATAATAAAATTTAACATAACAGTTAACTCTAAGAGGAAGCCAGGGGATGGAGTAGGAAAAAGCACATTGATGAAAGCAAACTACCATTAATGTTCTAGTTACTCAGAGGGTTGTTTTATAACAAATATATGTTACATAAATCCCTTCGTAAATATCAAATGTTGCATTAAAAATTAATAAAAGGGAAAATAATAGTATTTACCTCAGAAGGTTAAAGTATTAAAACAAGATAATTAATGTAAAAAACAAAGCACCAGGCCCGGCAGTTAACAAGCCCTCAATAAATGGAAGATACTATTTTTTGCTGTCTTTATCACCACTATCACCATGAGCTTTCACGCGCTATCATACTGGATTCTCACAAATACACTGACAGGTTGGCAGTAATGATAATTCACATTTTACAAATGACTCACCCAGGGTTGCACTAGGTTAGTGGTGGAGGAAAAATGTGAACCACGATCCCTTAACTCTCAATCCAAGACTCTTTCTAATTATACTATGAATAATTTCCCAAAGTAATATTTGTATTACTGCTACATTAAAACTATAAATGAAACTTCTTCCCCTAAAGTGTCAACTCATTTATTTAATCTTGCATTATCCAGTTCTCTTTGTTTTCTTTCTATTTTCCATAGCTTTTTCTTCTGGCCTTTTTATCGAATACATCTCTCCACAGAGGATGAGAGGGAGACATAACAATGTCTCAAAAACAATGCCTGGGTCTTTGCATACGCTGCTTTTTTTTTTTTTTTTTTTTTGGTGAGGAAGATCAGCCCTGAGCTAACATCCATGCTAATCCTCCTCTTTTTGCTGAGGAAGACTGGCTCTGAGCTAACATCTATTGCCAATCCTCCTCCTTTTTTTCCCCCAAAGCCCCAGTAGATAGTTGTACGTCATAGTTGCACATCCTTCTAGTTGCTGTATGTGGGACGCGGCCTCAGCGTGGCCAGAGAAGTGGTGCGTCAGTGCGCGCCCAGGATCCGAACCCGGGCCGCCAGTAGCGGAGCGCACACACTTAACAGCTAAGCCACGGGGCCGGCCCCATACGCTCTTATTTATGCCTCACAACAGAACTGTGAGATCAGGATTACTTTTCATTTTTAAAATGTGAAGACTGAATCTTAGAGAACACACAAATTCCAATTCTGCTAGTTCCTACATGTATGCCTTAACGAGGCTAGTTAAGCAACCTTGAGACTCAATTTCACTTTGCTTCCCTTTAACCAGGACTTAAGAATAGTCAGTAAATATATGACTAAATGAATGAGAAAGAATATCACTTTATGAGAATGTGAGAAAATGAATGTAAATGATAATAATAGCTGCTCATTTTCTGGGCACTGACTATGCACAGGACACTTTTATAAGTCTTTTCGGTGCATTAACATATTTAATAAAATAATTCTATAAGGAAGCTCTTATTTTATAAATGAGAAACTGAGAAACAGGGAAGTCAAGTAACTTGTATCTCCACTAAGTGGGAGAGCCAGGATTCAAACTCAGGTAGTCTAACTTTTGTGGTAACAGTTTTAGCAAATACGTATCATGGCAAGTCACAGATAAAAGGTGCTCACAATGGTCTCCTTGCTATATTTTCCAAAAATATCTACTCCTTACCCTATCAGAACATATATAAACAAATTTTATGACTTATTTAATTAATATGTCTTCTGACAAAACTAAGAAGAAGCAGTGTCTATTTCTTTCACAGCTGTATTTTCAATGCTTAGCACCGTGCCTACCACACACAACATAATAAAATAGTAATAAATAAATGGTAGTTACTAAAATTATATTATTACTTAACAGTTCTTTTATATAAGCAGGAGAATGCAGCACGTAATAGTTAAGAGAGGCTTCAGGATTATCCAAAAGTCCTAAATACGCTATAGGATACACAAACCTAAAACATACATCAGTCAAATATATTGTTTTGCCATTGCTGAGCTATGCAAAAGCAACAGATTTCCTTTCCTCCTTCAAAAACACTAAAAATTTTAACTAAATATTATTTCATTTTTATTGCTACAACCCATAGCATTGTAAAATATTATATATCACATTAGAAAGACACACATGGTAGGTAAGAGAGAATAAAAATTTTTAAGAATATTTAAGAATATTTTATATTCTTATTGGCCCAAAAAAGGTTTAGAATCCAAGACAAAGGTTTCAATAATAGAGAAATCTATACTATTCTTGACATTTACTCACCAGAAATATCCATAAATGCACGATCCCATAATTCACCTACTGTATAGCATTCTGCAGAAGTGATGTTGACTGAAAGAACAATATCATCTTCAACGTATTTTAATATGAGATTATTTATAACAATATTTACATTATTTACAACTCGTCTAATCAGACTCTGCACATAACCTATAAAATAGAAAAAAAAATTTCAATTAGCCACAAGTCTATCATTACATAATTATTTCTTAAAATGTTATTGAACTTCATGTATGTGAAAGGTGTGTATTATTTAGCTTATTTTGTGAAGAGAAAACTAAGATTCAGATAGATAAATAGGCTTGCCAAAGTGACACAGCTAATAAGTAGCAGATCTAGCCCAACAAAAACCCTTACCAGGAAGTTCTATACAATGAAGTGTTCATGTACTAAGAGAATCCATAAAGACCATACCTTTTTAATAACATAATACTAGATCCCATTCATTGATTATCCTATACTATAAGTACTTTGGTTTCCTCCTATTTTCTAAACATTTTCCCAAATGAAACAATGTTGCTATATGCTGATTATACAACCTATTAGAAGAATAGCTTCTCTAAGCTTCTTTTTGAACCAGCTACCATCTTCTCTTCCTACTTTAATTAGCCATAAAAATATTCAGAAGTTAGGCCTAGAAGAAGAAAGATAGGAGAAACATGATCACCATAAAGGATTCAACTATTTCCACTAACTAATATATAATCCTGAAACAGGGGAGGGGAGAGAATATGAATGACAAAGACAATGTAGACAGAAAGAATTAAAGAAAGAGGAAGAAAAGAATACAAGGAAGAAGATAGAAAAAAAAAGTATGAAAAGAGAGAGAACAGTTTTATAAAAGCATAATGAGAACACAGGGAAATAAGAAAGAGAAATAGAAATAATTGTTTTTTAAAAAAACTCAAAACAACAGAACTAGTGAACATTCTTTTTCTCCATAGCTTGCCTAGAATCTCCAAAAATTTCTTTTCATTTCATGCTACTGTGGAATACTCTATACTCTCAGAAGTCCGTCACAGAATAAATGTGTATATAGATACATTACTGAGGAATTGAACTGAAAATATAAATAAAACTAAACACAAACATCATTAAAAAAGCCATAAGAGAAAAAGATTAAAAACTTCACTTTATTCAAATGCATTTTCCAGTATAAAACCTATTTAAAAGCTAATTAATATTTTAGCTATTTCATGAAATTACTATCTGCTTGTATTCTTTAAGCCAGAATTTTACTGGACAAAACGGAATCAACTTCTGTCAGCAACTGACATTGTTAATACCAACACTAAAGCCTGCTAGGAAAAAGCTTATTTAAATCTATTCAATCATACCATGTTTGCAAAAACCAACTCCTTCATTCATTCCCAATGGATACAAATAGGAAAGAAATGTAAAACAACTAAGTTCAAGTTTTTCTCATATATGGAAACTATTAGCTTTCAGAGTGCCAATTTATCATACGCTATAAAATTAACATACAAAACATCAATAAATTTAAGGTAACAAATACACTTTTACAAGAATAGATGCTAAAATAATGCTTAACAAATTAATTTTCCAAAAGAAATTTTAAACATCAAAATTTTCAACCTTAGAATGTATATTCTCCACGCTATTATTACTCAACACAGATGTTAAAAATAAAAATAAATATCCTGTTTCTAAGAAGTCAAGAAACATGACTAACATTGGTTTTCCTATTTCTGATAAACCTATCATCAATAGAGAATTCATAGAAAACCTCTTCACAGTTTATGAGTTTTTATTATCTTCAAAACAAGAAATAAAATCTCAAAGATAGAACTGGGGAAAACGTAAAATGCAAAGTAATAGAAACATAATACTGTAAATGTATTTTAACTGACAAAACACTACCAATGGATTTTTCATTGATTTTTTAATATTTTCCTTCAGTTTCTCATTATAAAACTGACATACAAGTTGAGATGAATAAGCCAATTGACCAAGAAGAATCAAATATCTAAAAGGAACTATGTCTATAGAAGGCTATTTATGTTTCCTTATTAAAAATGCAAAGCCAAAGTAAATAACAGTGACTAACCAATAGGATAAATGATATACTATCTCTTTAATCCCCCACGACTTAGTCCTAAGCGACCTACAGAAGAGCGTCAAACAGCAGATCTAATAGCTCTCATCACCCCACATTTAGAGACTCTCAGAGAGTAAGTCGGTTCAAAGCACCTAACAGTAATCCAGGTCTATTCCACAAGCATCTGAAAATGCAAGGACACTCTGGGGATAAGAACCTACAAGATGTCATATTAGTCGACAACAGCCTGTTACTAGTCAATCTTTCCAAAAATTCCTATCAATATCCAACTCTCTCCCACCCACAAACCCCATTCCTCCAAACACATACGTCTATGCCCACAGGCCCATATAAAACACTATTAATTTTTCCTGACTTTGCTCATGTTCTTCTTTCTGTTTAGAATACTCTTTGTCCATTCTCCCTTCTTGTCCTGTCTCCTATATCCTCTTCTCCAATGTCCTCCACCCTACACATTAACATTAAGGAGACTGTCTCTACCACTTTTCTTGGGCTTATGTTACTACTGCCATTTGTATAGGTTTACGTATACTTACCTTCTCTGTAAAACTATGAAATCTTCAAGGGCAAAGATTATATCCTATTTCTATTATATTCTTTTCTTTTATTGAGATAAAATTGGTATATAACATAAGTTTCAAGTGTACAACATTATAATTCAACATCTGTAAAGACTACAAAGTGATCAGCACCAAAAGACTAGTTACCATCCATCACCATACAGTTAACCCCCTTCACCCATTTCACCCACCCTGCAACCCCCTTCCCTTCTGGTAACCACCAACCTGTTCTCTGTATCTGAGTTTGTCTTTGTTTTGTTCTGGGTTTGGTTTCTTTTTTTTGGATTCCACATACGAGTGAAATCATATGGTATTTGTCTTTTTCTCTGACTTATTTCACTTAGCATAATACCCTCAAGGTCCATCCAAGTTGTTGCAAATGGCAAGATTTCATTCTTTTTTATGGCTGAGTAGCATTCCATTGCATATATATACCATACCTTCTTTATCCATTCATCCACTGAGAGACACTCGGGTTGTTTCCATATCTTGGCTATTGTAAACAAGGCTATGGTGAACACAGGAGTGCGTACATCTTTTTGAATTAGTGTTTTCATGTTCTTTGGATAAATACTCAGAAATGGAATAGCTGAATCATACAGTAGTTCTATTCTTAATTTTCTGAGCAATCACCATACTATTTTCCACAGCGGCCGCACCAATTTACATTCCCACCAGCAGTGTACGAGGGTTCTCTTCTCCACATCCTCTCCAACACTTGATATTTCCTGTTTTTTTGATAACAGCCATTCTGACAAGTGTGAGGTGATATCTCATTGTGGTTTTGATTTGCATTTCCCTAATAATTAGTGACGTTGAACATCTTTTCCCGTGCCTGTTGGCCAACTGTATGTCTTCTTTGGAAAAACGCCTATTCAGATTCTCTGCCCATTTTTAATTGGGCTGTTTTCTGTCGTTGAGTTGTACGAGTTCTTTATATAGTTTAGATGTTAATCCCCTATCAGATATATGATTTGCAAATATCTTCTCCCATTCACAAGGGAGAACTATTTGTTTTAATGATGGTCTCCTTCACTATGCAGAAGCTTTTTAGTTTGATGTAGTCCTACTTATTTTTTGCTTTTGTTTCCCTTGCCTTTGAAGTCATATCTACAAAAACATCGCTAAGAACAATGTCAAGGAGCTTATCACCTATGTTTTCTTCTAGGAATTTTATGGTTTCAGGTCTTACATTCAAGTCTTTAATCTATTTTGAGTTAATTTTGGGGTACAGTGTAAGATAATGGTCTAGTTTCATTCTTTTGCATGTGGCTGTCCAGTTTTCCCAACACCATTTATTGAAGAGACTGTCCTTTCTCCATTGTCTGTTCTTGGCTCCTTCGTCATAAATTAATTGTCCATACATGTGTAGATTTATTTCTGGGCTCTCAATTCTGTGCTATTGATCTGTGTGTCTGTTTTTATGCCAATACCATACTGTTTTGATTTTTACAGCTTTGTACTGAAGTCTGAAATCAGGGAGCGTTGTTTTTTTTGTTTTGTTTTTCTCAAGATTACTTTGGCTGTTTGGGATCTTTTGTGGTTCCATACAAATTTTAGGATCGTTTGTTCTATTTCCGTGAAAAACGCCATTGGAATTTGGATAAGGCTTGTTGCATTGAATCTGTAGATGGCTTTGGGTAGTAAGGACATTTTAATAATATTCTTAAATTAAATGGCATGTATCAAATAATTGTGGCTACAAAAAGACAACATCTGCAATCAATTTATCCTGATGTGGTCACTGGGAAGCTAAGTTGCTCAAAATCAGAAATTCCATGGTTGATGACTTCGTTAAAGTACCAAAAAACATCTTGGTCAAGTTTTTGATGTAAAATTTATTTGGGGGTTATGCAGCATCACACAGGCAACTTATGATCGAATAGTTAAAGGAAAAGTAAGTTCTTTGTTCTTGCCTTTTTTGGAAGGTTGAAATTATTTCAAAATAAAACTTTTTTGTTAACTAGAAAGTAACTTAAGGCAGTTACTCTAGGAGCTAAAACAAATAGCTGTGAGTTGAGGATACACACTATCAGTATTATTATTTAAGGTGGTCACAAAAGTTCTAAACAACTAAATAAGTGTAAAAAAGAGAAATATGTATAAGTACTGACAAGGAGAATACAAAATTATCATTACACAAAGATGACTGTATTTTTTTATAGAGAAAATCTAAAAAATGCAACTGAAAAATAGTGAATGTTGATTAGCTAACAAAACGTAAAAATTAGCTTTCCTACATAAAGTGCTGAAAAGAGAATAAAATGGTAATCCCAATTAGCAATAGAATATATGATAACATTTTCCATCTATAAAAGTTTCAAAGAAATGATTTTTAATAATAAAAAACAGGATTGGACCAAAAATGTGCTTGGAAGAAAGTACTGTTAAACTTTTCAGACGGTAATTTGTGCCCAAACCTTAAAATTACTCATAAATTTTGATTCTATAAATTGGTGAGAATTTCTCCTAAGGAAATAAAGAGAAGTATGTGCAAAGATTTACCTACC